CGCCGATAGTCCATTGCGCCCCCGCGACTTCCCGGTCTCCGCTCTTTTCCCACCCAATACTGTTCCCCTCCCCCACGCCCCTCATCACCGTCAGGATTCCGCCCCCACAAGATCTTCCCGACTGCGCCCCCATTTCTCGATCCCCATCCCGCTCCCGCTTCCTGTTCCTCCCCGATTTCCCCCCTGATTCCCCCTGGCCCCCCACCCGACTCTCCACGATCCTTCCCCAACTTCCCCAATTCCACCCGATCTCGACTCCGTGCCCCCACCCCCGACCCCAACCAAGACCTCCTCCCCTCTTCCCCACGCACAACCCGCGCAATTCCCCGAGCCCCGATTCTCCCTTGCCCCTCGCCGCACAACTTTCCCCCCACGTCCCCCCTCATCACCATCATCATCGATCTACCCGTGCAAACCCCTTTTTTTTAACCATCCCTACCACGCTACCACCCAATCRATCGTAGATAGGATCGCTCGGCCCTTGGTTTACTTCAACACACATTTATTCCTCTATTTATTTCTTATTATTTTTATTAGAATTCATTCAAAAATACTTAATTAATTATCTACATTGCTTTTCCAAAAATATTTTCTTTTGCGAAACTTTCGAAAATACGTAGAATTAGTTATTCTTTCTCGGCATTTCTTCCTTGAAATTCAAAAATAATTTTAATTAATTCTTTTCAGAAGTTTTGTAATTAGGGGAATATTTTCGAATTAACTAAACTCCTTTCTTTTTTGTAATTCGAAATATGTCAAAATTAATTAAATTATTTTTTGACATTTCTTAATTCAAAAACATTACTAATTAATTCTTTTTCAGAATTTTTGTAATTGGAAAATACTTGAGAATTAATTAATGTTACGATCCTGGTACTTTCCCAAGTGCAAATTCACAATGAAAGACAATGCCACCCAATTGCGAAAGAAATGAAAGCACTTGCAAAGAGATAAAGACCAGAGGAGAGAGAAAGAAGAAGAAGAAGAAGAAGAAGAAGAAGAAGAAGAAGAAGAAGATGTACACCAGCAAGACCAATGACAATTCCCCCTTCTCTCTTCACCTTCCTCCTCCTCCTTCACTTCACCAATCTTATTCTTCTCTCCATAATAATAATAACAATGAATGGATGAACCAGAATCAATATCCGAAGTTCCCTCTTATTGCTGACTCAACTCAACAACAACAACAACAACAACAACAACAACAAGTCCACCATAGCTATGGCTTCCCTCCTTCAGCCTCCTCTCTCATGCATAGGCTATGGCGGACTAAGGAGGGCCCTGCCCTCCTGTCCAAAGGACAACCCAAAGCAGCTATGGTGCTGCGCTGATGTCCAAAGGACAACCCAAAACAGCTATGCCGCTGCTGACCGGTCCGCCATGCCTGACTCTGCGTCGAGCTTCCTTGGTGCAGCACTACCCCAACTGGGGCCTTCCATATGCAGCGCCCGACAAGGTGTTGAAGACGGTGTCCACCATAGCCAGGTAGGTGCCTCGCCACTCTCCTACCTCGCCCCCTTCTTCCTCCTCCTCAAGCTGGACTGCTCGCCATAGCCAGGCTGAGCTCCAGCGGCCCTTCACCTCCAAGCAGCGCTGTAGCAGCCAGCGCTGCGCTCCAGCAGCATGTCGCCAATCTTTGCATACCGCAAACGAGGAGGAGCTACTTGCTCCTCCGAAAGATATAGCGGCCTACTGGCCTCCTGGGCGGTGGCTTCCTAGGCCGAGCGGCCTCCCAGCAACCGGTACCTCCTCCCTTAAGGAGGGAAACATCATTGCAGGCTCTGCTAACCTCCGGACAGGCCCTAGACCCGGGCTACTTGGACTGGTACCGGCCTACCTCTAGCCTACCGCTACTGGGCCTCTAAAAATGCCAACTTTTTGTCTTTCTTCTGCTCGGCCTCCAGTACCCGACACTTCTACCACTACTTCAGTGGTACCGGCCTACCTGCTACTTGAGTGTTTTTCCCCTCGGCTCTAAGTGCTGCGGGCCTACCCCCGCTACTCGAGTGTTTTCCCCCCTGCAACCCTTCACAGTCACGGCCACAGGTAAGTACCGGCCCTGAGGGGCCTTTCAACTAACAAGTACCCTTGCGGGTCACACACACACTCAACCGACAAGCACTCAGACAGGCATGCAAACCACCAGGCACGCACACATACACAGACATGGAAATCACAGCAAAATGCGGGAATTTCAGCAAGGCATTCATTCCAGCAACAAATCCCAGAAATCAGCAGTGTTCTCAGTCTGTGTTTTTGGCGGGTCATTACACTACCCCCCTCTCAAGAGCGAGGTCCCTTTGAGCGAGTAACTCATTCAGAGTCGGCACAAAAGGCATCGTAGGCGTAGATAAAAAAGAGAGACTTAGTAATACCGTAAGGAGTGAGTCTTGCAGAAAACTTAACAGTCTGTCCATCAGTGATCTATCGTTCATAAGCGTTCACAACACGTGGAGCGTTCTTTAGCAGCTCTTTCCGATCGATCCAGAAAAACTCGTTCAACGGGTGATAGAGGAAGTGAACCTTATACTGTCTGTTCCTCCCTCTGCCTTCATGGGAAACGATTTTGTCTATCTCATGGCCGCCGTCGATAGGACGAGGTATCATAGGATCTCGGAAGGGAAAAGTTTCATCATCGATGTGTGGAAACAATTTGGATGCATGAAAGACCGGATATGTGCGCAGATGAGGACGCACATCAATCACATATGACGGATCAAAATCATCCCCAATCACCTTCAAAACCTGCCAAGGGCCATAGTACAATGGAAGAAGCTTTCGTGATACGCCCTCCTCATCAGAAAACTCAGACATTTTGACCCAGACATAATCCCTTACTTTGAAGGTCACTTCTTTACGCGACTTATTCGCATGTTTGATCATGGCATGCTGACGCTTGTTCATTGCTGCAATAGTAGCTTTGAGCAGGCGTCCGTACTTGGCATTGTAGCCAGGCATGCCGGGCGTCAGACTAGGTGACCGTTCGGGGAACAGATAGGAGAGAGGATTGCGCAGCTGCCATCCGTATTGCAGCTGATTCAGTGTCACACCTGTTGCCGAGTGAATGGAGTTGTTGTACAATCCTTTCACTTTGTGCAACCCCTTGTCCCACATGTTCTGATCTGGAACAATTAGCGCGTGAAGCAGTTGAATGACAGTCTAGTTGATTTCCTCGGCCAATCCATTGGCTTCGGGATGTCGACCAGAAGTCTTGTTGAGTTTAATGTCATAGATCTGCGAGGTGAAGTCCTTCCAATCTTTGCTAATAAATCTGGTATCCCGATCACTCACAATAGTTTTCGTGTGGCCAAACTGCAGAATATACTGCTGATGAAATTCTTCGATGACAAGTTCAGTTGGAGCATGGGAGGGAAAGGAATCAAGTTCAGAAATTTGGAAAAACGGTCCACGATGACCATGACTTGTGAGTTCCCTGCCTCACTCACCTTTCCCATGTCCGTGAAGTCGATGGAAATCAACTCACCGGGACCATCAGGAATGGGGAGTGGTCTCAGCAGGCCATAAGGCTTATGCCTATGGACCTTGGTTCTTTGACATACTTGACATTCAACAATGAACTTCTGAGCAGATCCCTTCATTCCCGGCCAATCAAACTGCTGCAGAAGACTTCCATAAGTCTTCTCAAAGCCGAAATGCCCACTCCGACCATGTGCCAAATCCAAGAAATGAGTTCGGAGAGGCGCATGGTTGGGTACACACAAACGATCAAATTTCCCATACCGGCGGAATACAAGACCCTTGCATTCATGAAAATCAGGCTGACTGCTAGGGTCAGCCTTAAGCTTCTCAAGGATGGGACTAAGGTCCGGATCCTTGGCGGTGTGTTTGACCAGATCCTCCTTCAGTTTCCTTCGGAGGTCATACGAACCACAAGGCAAGTCAAAAACTCAGGATGGCGTGATAGAGCATCAGCAACACGGTTATAACAGCCTTTCTTGTGTTTCAACTCAAAACTATAGACATCAATGTCATGCAACCAGCGGGTCAGTGTAGGAGAGAGATCCGTTTGTGTTTGAATCCACTGCAAGGTCTGATGATCTGAGTAGACCTTGAAGTGACGACCCAAGAGGTAGTGCTTTCAATGTGCGAGTGCCTCGCGCAGGGCGTAAAGCTCACGCATATATGTGAAGTAGCTACCTTGTGGCTGGGCATGCGTTTGCTGTAATACTCGAGCGGACGCAGGCCATCACCATCATCTTGTTGCAGCACTGCACCAATCCCAAATTGGCTCGCATCCGTAGTGACTACGAATGTGAGGTTGGGATCCGCAATGCTGAGCACAGGATGACTCACCAATGCCTCTTTCAAGGCTTGGAACGCAGTCTCACATTTCTCACACCACGCATAGGCAACATTCTTACTTGTTAGTCTTGAGAGTGGGTGAGCAATGACAGAAAATTTGGGCACAAACTTCCAGTAATATGAGGCCAGACCATGAAAAGAACGCAGTTCGCGTACGTTCGTTGGTTGAGGCCACTTTCGGATGACCTCAACCTTGGTTGCCTCCGGCTCAAGGCCGTTTGCAGACAATCGGTGCCCAAGATAGATGATGCTGTCCCTTCCAAACTCAAATTTCTCTAAGTTGAGGTGCAGTTGTGCCTCCTTGAGGACTTGCAAGACCTCCTCAAGGTGCTTGACGTGCTCTTCCATGGACTTGCTGAAGATCAGGATATCGTCAAGGTACACAACCACAAACCTGTTGAGTTGATGGCGAAGTACCTTGTCCATGAGGCACTGAAATGTGGCCGATGCATTCGTAAGTCCGAAGGGCATAACGATGAACTCGTACAGCCCATCGCGTGTTTTGAATGTAGTTTTGTGCTGGTCACTCGGATCAACTTCAATCTGGTGGTAACCAGACTTGAGGTCGATCTTGGAGAAGACCTTGCACCCACCTTCCGCATCTAGCAGATCATCTATGTGAGGCAAAGGGTAAGCGTTCTTTCTGGTGATTCGATTGAGGCCACGATAGTCAATACACATCCGGAATTTGCCTCCTTTCTTTGGCACAAACAGGACAGGTGCACCAAACTCAGACTCGCTAGGCCTAATCCATCCACGGTCGATCATGTCATCAATCTGCCTCCTCAACTCCTCCAACTCGCCTTGTCCCACACGGTAGACGCAACCCTTTGGAGGAACACTCCCTTCTATTATCTCGATCTTGTGTTTGACCGGACGCTCGGGAACTCCACGAGGTTCGGCCAAAACTTCCAGGAATCGATCTAATAGACGGCGAATGTTTGTTGGGACTTCCAGGGGAGGATCATCCTCATTAGGAGAAAGAAAATCAGATCGAGAATTTACAGCAATTACAACTGGATTTGACGTACTTGGATCAGAAGTAGAAGGATTATTCACAGTAGAAGTAGATGGAACAGAAGTAGAGGTGGTAGAAGTAGAATTACTTACCGAGGTAGAAAATGCAGCAAAAGTAGAAGGCACATGGAGAGGCTTTACAAGAGCTACATGTACGTGCTCAGCTTCCTTGCGCCTGCGCACTGATTTGCAGAATTTAGTTGCACTTAAAAGAGTCACAGGGGACTCGCGCGTCTCGTCCAATAGAACGGTACGCTCGTTCCCCTTGGCATCACGCACCACGAACTGATTGTCCGCGCACGTGGTCCTTAGGCAATGAGCCTTTAACCAGCCCAAGCCAATGACCGCGTCGAACGGACACTTGTCCATGACATAAAAGTTGAGCTCATGTGTGACAGTGCGGTCTTTGTCAAAGGTGACGCGCACACCTTTGACATCATGTGTGGAGGTGATAACCTCTTGGTTGCCCACCTGGGTCTGACAAGGGTTCTGCAATTCCACCTGCTTCATTCCCAGGCCCGCCTTACGAATCTCGTTAGGAGAAAAGAAATTGGTGGTTGAACCACTATCAATCAGCACACGGATGTATCGGTGGTTAATGAGCAGTTTAAAAAAGGTTAGCTCCACACTCCCTGGTACACGGCGTTGCTGCTTGAGCTGCAGCCAATGTTCCAGGTGAGCGTGGAAGTCAACTTCCTTAGACTCCTCCCAAGGCTCAGTGTATAGCACATGAACTGCAGCAACCTTGAATTCAGCGTCGTTCCGGGCTTTAGGGGCAGGTCGTTGATCACATTCAAACTCCTTAGAGGGGCCTGCAACTGACGCTTCAGCTTCCCTCATTGTAGAGAGTGCTGATGATTCTTCTACGCCCTTTGCCTGTTTCCCTGCAGACGATAACAGTCCTGCACAGCATGCCCAGGCTTTTGACAATGCAAGCATACGCGCAGTTTGGATCTTCTTTCCCATTCTTTTTGACTAATACGGAGGGCTTCCCAAGGCTTGGTAGAAGCATCCTCCGATTTCTCAGGGATTTTCGCATTCTTGGGGAGGTGTGCAATAGTTCCCCTACCTGAACCACGGTTAGGCCCCTTAGTTGAAGCAATCTTTTTGAAAGCATTAAGTTTTCATCTTCATTCAAATCAGACTCAATGGCTGATGTAGAACAGCCCATATCGGAGTCCGGCTCTAGATCGTCATCTAGAGGCAAATCATCCGTGTAGGACTGATCTTCAGCCTCCCGATGTTCATGCAGGGCAAGCTGGTTGCTGCTTCCATACCGCTTGCGTTGTGGTTTTCCACCTGCAGCGGGCGCCTTCTTACGCCTGGCGAGGTCCTTGGCCTCTAGGTTGACGAGATCTGTCATGAGCTCTCGCCAGGTGGTATGGTCTTTGAGTGCTAACAGGGAGAGGTATTCTTTAGGGGCCACTCCCATGACTACATCCATGCAAGACATGTCGGTCATTCCCAGGTCTGGAGTGGTGAACAGACCCGTCAAGTGTTGTTCCAAAGCCTGCATGGAGGTCCTCTATGTTTGGGCCTTGAGGGCCTCAAGCTTCAGCCTCGCCTTGAGCGCAACGTGCTTATCTTGGCACCGTATGATGAGAAGGTCCTCAAGGGTGCGTACAGGAGTTACCTTCAACCACTCAGTCAGGTCAATTCTTTCATAACCTGCAGTAACAGCTTGGAGCTCAATGAAATTCCATACGGCGGGCTCAGTATTAGTACCCATGATCATGCTTCGATCTTCCTGCGTTGTCCGCATTACCTCGAAGTATGAGTGCATGGAACTAATCCAAGAGGTGATGTCCCCTTTCCCGTCGTACTTGGACGGCAGAGTGGCCGCCCGCTTATCCACTACGGGACCGCTGTACTGTACGCCAGTAGGAACTGTGGCGTTTTGGGCTGACGTTCCTGCATTTGGAACTATGACTAGTGCAAAACTGTCGGCGCTGCCGCTTGAGGAGTTGGCACCGGTTCATGTGCTGGCCACAGTTCCACTTGCTCTTGCCATGAGAACTGTGTTAGATTGAGAGACTGGGATTGCAGCAGGTCGAGGGTTAGGAGGGCGGGGGGCAGACAATTGGGACTGTTTCAGGCTGATTATCTCAGCCTGCAGCTCTTGGTTCCGCTGTTCCAATGCTGTCACACGGGTCTCAAGGTCTTCCAAAGTCTGCAGCCGAACCAAGGCTGCTACGGCAGCAGCTAGCCTTTCTTGGAACCGGTCAGCGCTCGCTTCCGGGACCTGAAGGAGGGCCACCTGATCAGCAATGCTGGTGGCTCTGGCTGCTGACTCTGCCTCCCTTTCCCTCTGCACGACATCATCATAAAGCTTGTGGAAGAACGGTTTCTCGTTCTCGTCTGCTGCGTCCAGCATGGCCTGCCATTGGGCAGATGTGATGTCTGCCATGCTGGAGGAAGGGGTGTCAACAGTTCTCTCAAGAGGGGTCCGCTCTCTCCTCACGTTTGGATGAACACTCCTCTTGCCCTTCCTCACACTCTCAAAAAGAACACCTTCTCTCTCTCTTCTCTCTCTCTCCGCTGTCTGCGCATGCGTCTCAATACCGGACATAGATAGTTTAGATGAAAGAAACAATCAGTAAATCACACAGAGTAGAAGGTAGAACTCCTAGCCGGAGCGGCGATTCATTTGGACTTAGAGAACGGCACGCAGCAGAAAAAAAAAAAAAAAAAAAAAAAA